ATTTTTAATTGAATTTATTTATTGGTCCATTTATATATTTCTGCTTTTTTTCTAGTTATGTCAGTGTCAGTCCTCCATACTGCAGAACTTGGTATTTCAATGTCTGAATCAGGTGGGTTGGAGCAGGGAAAATCATAAAACCTGTAGGGCTGCGGCCCTCGAGGACCAGGATTGCCCACCCCTGACCTAAAACTAAAAAAAAAAGGGGGGGTAAAAATAAAATCCTTCCGCTGCAAATATGAGTACTTCAGGTCTAACTCACCAGAACGGTGCGCTGCAGGTTGGAAGAGACCCGTCGGAACAGCAGCCGCCCCACCAGACTGGCTATGGAGGGAAAGATGAGAGCTCCACACAGAGTTCTAGACACAGACAGGTGATCTCCTGCACCCGGTCTGTCAACAGGCCAACGGGACAGGTAAGAAACGCTACCTGAGGAGGAACACATGGAGCTAAATTAAAGAACAGAGTTTTTACCTTTTTTATTTCTATATATCTTTAACTGTGTAATGCTGGTGAAAGTTTAAGAAATGTTAATCAGTTAATTCTGTTTATTTTATTTATTTTTATGTGAGAGCACGTTTTTGCTACATCGCGGGGACCATTTTCCAGAAAAAGTCAATGCATGGTCCCCATGTTGATATAAAAACAAACCTGTGTGTGTGTTTGATACAGACAGACATCAGCTCGAGCGTCTGCAGGATTAAGAAACAGATTTATTACCGAGGTGAAGAAATTTATTGGGGTTTGTTTGCTACTGACTTTAAAAAAAAAGCACTACACATTTTATAGTTTTTCTCAAGTGAAACATGATTTAGTTTTATAAACCAGAGTGTGATTATTCCTGTGATTAAACTGGTGATCTTATATACAGACTGGTCTGAGTGGCCGTCAAAGACGGTTCCACAGAGCAGAAGGTACTTATAGATAAGATACATGCCTGAAAACACTTTCAACACTTTAACTGAATCATTGTTTTTACATTAGACCTGACTCCAGCTGTGGTGCGGCCCTTTTTGATGATGCAATGACAATAGGCGGAGTCAGGTCCTGAAGAAGGTTATAAAAGTGTCCTTGTTTCCTGAATCTGGGGCTGAATACAGAACAGAGAGTAAAACTGCCTTCAGACCGAGCGCTCTGTGCAGTGATGTATGAACTCTTTTTGGTACCACTTTACAATAAGGCTCCCCTTCTAGATGGCTTATGAATAGTTTATAGATTTATTATCATTATAGGTTATTGATTCATCTGTAAACACATTATAAATCATTAATAAATGTTTATTATGGATTAATTAAGGACAGGAAAGAGACAAAACTGTCCAGTTTCTCGCCAAATAGTGAGCCAAATCTGTTTGTGTACATATCGCTAGGTTTATAAGCACAATTATGTATTGGAAACACATATTTAAAAATTAATATTGAACTATATTACTTATACATATTAACAACTGTCAAAGGGAGCCTTATTGTAAAATGTTAGACAGTATACTATTTATAAGGCTCTGATATGACATTATTAATATTATACTGTTCAACCTTTACAATAAGGCTCCCTTTGATTACTGTGGATGTGTATAGGTAATACAGTTCAATAATATATGTTTTTTTTCAATAAATTATTGTGCTTACAAGGTAGTAAACTAGTCTGAAATGTTTAATAAGCACCTTTAGATGTGATATATATACATGAACACATTTGGCTCACTATTTGGCAGGAAATCGGAGAGTTTTGTCTCTTTCCCGTCCTTGATTAATGAATAATAAACATTTATAAATGATTTATAAAGTGTTTACAGATGAATTGATAACATATTTATGAACTATTTATAAGCTATAAAAGGGGAGCCTTATTGTAAAGTGGTACCCTCTTTTCAAATTCAAACATTCACATATTGGTGTATTGTCTGTCTGGTACGAACACATAATAAAAGGTAAACAAACATGTAATGCTTCTTATCAGAGAGCATATTAAAAACTACAGGAAACAGCAACTTTGTAGTTTGTTCAAAAAATGTTCAACCACAGAATCACTGAAATGAGTTAATTCAGTTTCTTTTTCACACGAGGAAGACGTCAGTGAGCAACTACGGGGTTAATCAACAGATTAATCTGTCAACCGATCAAGGGAATATTAAAGATGATACAGAACAACAACTTTTTAGTTATTTTTTCAAAAAATATTGAACCATAGGATCGCTTAAGTGTGGTTATTTTGTTTGATATGAGGCAGACACCCGTCACACAATGAACAAGTTGCGGTCCACTTCAACTCAGCTGAGATCTGCTCCACGCCTCTTTTGGTGCTGCGCTGCTGGTTTCATTACACACTTAAGTTAAGCATAGTATAAGCACTATATAAGTTCAGATAATTTACCAAATATGGTATGGAAATAATAATAAAAAAAAAGGCAAGAAGCACTTGTGACATGTGCACGCACCTGGTGTCCGTTTGCAGGAATACCTCTGCCACAGTCTCACTAAATAATCCTCCCAGCGGATCATCTTGCCCAGCACCAGCAGCACAGGGATGGTGGGCAGACCCATGAGCAGGAACAGAGGGTCAGCTCGCTCCATCACATACAGACCCTTCTTGTGACCCACCACCTGCAGGCAGAAAGAAAATCCGGGTGATGTTGCTGCAGACTGACGGAAACTTGATTTCTCCCAGACGGCTCAGTGCACCTGCATGACCGTCACAGCTCCGTATGTGACCGCCGACCAATAGACCGTCCCGACAACCACGCCGACGGCAGCGATGGGGCTGGCACGAGACAGAGCTCTGTCCACCTGCTGCAGGAAATACACCACTGGGCCTGAGGAACAGAAAATAAATAAAAATGAAAACTCAGATCATTATTCAAAACACAAATACAAAAATAATTACTATTCGTTTTACTCATTCACTAAAATAAAATTTTGTAAAGACGTTTCTAAACTCCTGTAGGCTGTGATGGGATTTTAGTAAAAGCAAAGCAAAAAAAAAAAAAAAACCTTGTATTCAACATTTGTCATTATGTAAGAAATGTATTTTTTTTCTTACAGCAAATACAGATTTTGTTTATTAAAGATATTTTTTGAACTAATGCTAGCTTTTCTTCTCACATGTATGGCAGTCTGCTTTCACATATAATCAGCTTCACCACAGTTAAGTTCCAGGTTCTGAAAATGGTTTTAAGACAACAACTTTTTTTTAGTGAGAGATACATAAAATTCAACTAATACAAATTAAATTTAAAACTTTTTCATGTTATGTTATTTTTATTCTTTAAAAAACTTTTTCTCATTTAATAAATATTAGTAATATTTCTGCTGTTAATCATAATTCTCTGTTCATCATTCTGGTTTAGCCAAGGCCGAAGATCCTGAAGGCCAAACTACAGGAGTTGTCTAAAAGACAAAACCATGAAATGTTTCAGATGTTTATAAAATGTTCGACCTTTAAACATTTGCACTTAGAATTTATGTCATTTCATTTATCTTGAAGTTTAAGCTAAATTTTCAGGTCATAGAATCACTTTAAATACTTTTCAGTAAGTTATATGTCTACAATTCTAGTTCAAATACACAACTTTATTTTTGCTAGATTGTTAAATTATTTGTGAGTTAATATTGCTTTAATGGACAACGATTTTAAAAAGGCGAACCATTAAAACATCAATGTTAAATGTGATGCGTTTGCAAAAAATGTTAGTCTAGAGCCCTGAGGGTTAAATCAAAGATCGGAGGTAACACTTCACCTTACTGTTACAGGACACACAACACTCTGCTCTCCCTCACCCATCTTGGGGAACATGATGCGGTACTCGGTGCCACATTGGGGACAGCTGACCGCTTCGCCGCTGTTTCCCTTCTGCTTCTCGTCCAGCCAGCGCTGCAGACACGACTGGTGGATCCATTTGGTGCAGCCTTTACACCTGCAGGGGCTCACCCACTCTGCGCTGCGGTCGTCCCGTTCAGTGGCAAAACACACCCAGCAGTGTCTAGACAGCACAAACACCCACACCACCAGCCACTTGTAAAACAGATCAAGTGTAGCTATAAAAGTTACAGATGCAGTTCTGATGTGAAATCAAAAGCCTATATAATAGGCCTATCAGATGAATTTGGCTGGATGATAAACTGTCTCAGAAAATATTGCATTAAACGATAACAGTGGAGATCATTTTAAACTAATATAATGATACACACACACACACACACACACCTAATTTCAGAAATTTATGAAATGTAAGTAGGTAAACTGAAAAAAGTTACGGACAAACCAGGAGCAGAGTTTGTGAAAACAACACACAACAAAAACTGCTGCAGCTTCACATCTAAGCCGGCACAGTTGATTCTTTATGCGTCTTTCTCTGGCTTCATAAACTATTTGTGGTCACCCATAGGGCTGCAACGATTAATCGATTAATCGACGACTAATCGATTATTAAAATAATCGATGACTAATTTAATAATCGATTTAATCGTTTTCTTTTTTTTTTGTTCTTTACTTTGTTTTTCTCTCCAAACTACTTTGACACCTTCCACTGCCACATCCGCCTTTCTGTCCTTGACACACATGCACAGTAGTGGTAACTGGGGTAGGCCATGGACGTGACAAGACATTATACAGACAGGCTCTGGGATCATGGCTACCTGGCAACTAGTGCTGTACCAAACGATTATTTTCTAATCGATTAATCTAACGAGTATTTTTTTCTATTATTCTAACAACAAATCTATAAGTTATTCTGATGTGAGTGCACTGGATATTTAAAATGTTTTCATCAAATTAACAA